ATAAAGTTTTATCTTTAATTTTTCCCAAACTGAAATCATTGCATTCCTAATACAGTGATTTTGAAATTATCCATGATTTTACATTTCTCATACCACAAGTAGCAGGATAATTTTGAAAGGATTATTTATTTAAGGCAGTCATACGGAATGTGTGGCCCTCCAGTTGTTGGTGGACTACCTGTCCTATCATCCCTCCCCATTGGCTTTGCTGGTTAGTCTTGGTGGGAGATGCTTTCCAATAGCTCCTGGAAGCTACCATCCTACACCATCAATTTTAGGAATACGCAATTTGGAGTTACATTTAATAAGAAAGGCGCTGCTAGTTTCCTTATTAAATAGTAATTCGCAATTATTTTGGACAGCAGTTTCTTACGCCTTGGGTGTTTGTGTTTGGTGCAGTTCCTTTTGGTGTAGTGCCTATATATACTGAGTTACTCTGCTTGTCTTGACTGGCCTGTTTCTTAATGAAGCGCTGCTGGTTTATTTTTCCATTTGGGATGTTTGCATGTGCTTTCCAGGTACCCCACAGTCAGGCCATGAGGCTGGGTTACTTGGTGCTCCTTGATTCACCTACCGTATTTTTCGTTCTATAAGACGCACTCCCCCCCCCACAAAAGTAAGGGGAAATGTCTGTGTGTCTTATGGAGCGAATGTGTGTGTGCCTGACGCCCGGGACGCTGCCGGCCCAGCTGCTCCACGTGGCGCCACCTGGCCGGCATGCGCTGGGCGTGCCCTGCTCTGCCACCCCCTCCGGTGCAGGTGAGAGCTGTTAATCACAGGTCGGTGTGTGTTTTCAAATGGCAACCCGTCTTGTAATGAAGCCCATGGGGAAGTGATGGGGAATGTGCCTGTGATTATCAGGAAGGTTTTCATGGATCCCTCCTCTAAAAACTAGGTGCATCTTATGGTCAGGTGTGTCTTATAGAGCGAAAAATATGGTAATCTCCGCGGCATCTGTGCTGGCGTAAAAAATGTTAAGAGAAGGACCATTCTTTTAATAAGCCTCTCTTTGTCAGGATTTGATGCTGATAAAGGGCAGTCATTCTGAGAGAGCCTTCTAAAAGAAAAAGAAAAAAGACAGGAAAACCAGCCCCTTTTCTTAAGAGGGGCCTCTGGTACTTCTAGGCAAAAAATCGAGTTGGTCCATATGTGACTTGCTTGAAGGAGAGGGGCTGGTATGTCCATACCTTGCTTCATGGTTAGCTGGTTAGCTTAGAGGGGAAGAGAGAGAAATTCAGCCTTGTGGCCCTATGCTGCACTGACTCTAACCTGGCTATATCCTTCCTGTAACGAGAAAGGAGGTGGCGATGTAATGGCACAGACACCCCAAGGGGCAATATTTCATGCCTGCTCCAGGACTGTCCAGCTTGCCACTCTGGGGCTGCCTGGATGCAGTGTGGTACCGCCGGCCCGCTGGGGCACC